GAAAGAAAGAAAGAAAGAAAGAAAGAAAGAAAGAAAGAAAGAAAGAAGAAAAAGAGAATGAGAGCCACAGAGGTCAAGTAGTCACTAAAGTAAGCAAAACTGGCTTGCATTACATTTATGCTACTTTATCCAACATGAACAGTTAGTCAGAAAAACTAAAAATAAAGACTTTTTTTTTTTAAGAAAACCAGTGACTTCCAGAATCATTAACATGTCCAAAAGGACCAGAAACTTGAACAATTCTGTGGGCAGCTGATCATGCACAGAGAAAACAGGTTATGATATGACAAAGTAAAAAAAAAAATGTATATGCCACAAACATCCCAGTAGCACAGACAAAAAGAACGGCAACATCAAATTTGGTAATTAGAATACTTAACACATAGCATAATCTTGTTCTGACAGAATTATCAGTGAACACAAGACGATCAAGCAGCTTGGACAGCCATTGGCACCTTGGTCAAACAGTCACTACTTACTGTTCAGGGGCCTTGCCCCATCCAAGAATGGAACCATGCTTATTTTGCATATGAGTATATGTGAGCAGGACTTAAGCATGTGCATTCTGTATACAGAAGAAGCAGGAAGGATATTTGAGATTCCATTGCACAAGAGTACAAAACAGCACAATGTTAACTGCTCTTGTGTACTTGTCAGAACATACTTTGAGCATGTGACTAGCTGCCAAGTGAACCTCCCCAATACTCCTAAAACTCTTTCTTCCCTCTCCCTGTCCATCACACTTAAAGTTCTAACAATTCATAAATCTTAGTACAGGTCTGGAGACAAGTGGATGAGTGAAACTGCAGGCATACCAGTTTTTCATATGCATACTAGCTATAAAATTGAATTTATAAATGAGGTACAGGAAGAGGTTAACAATAACTAATGGTATAAAAGAAATACTATGAGAGTGCACTCTAATGAAATCATCAGCATCAATGTTCTTCTAATGTGGAGCCATTAATTACAAAAATTATGCTTCTTTAGCATACACTCTCATATCTCAAGTATCACCCTGTTCACAGAGATGGCTGTGGAATGAATAATTTGCTGATGACTTTTGCTCAGATGGGACAAGTGTTACGACGCAAGATATCAACACTACACTCAAAAGGTCATGTCTCTTAAATTCTCCAATTTTTTATTTCTGAAAAATATCATGCATTATTTTGAAATGCAATGGATTTTAGGTAACTGGTATTATAGCAAATGAAAACGTAGATTTTGATAAATGAGAGCTACTTCTATCTTTTGAGAGGAGTCTTTATAAACCTAGTATATTTCATGGCCCAGTACATTTTTCCATATGCAACAGATTCTTGGTATCTTTCAAGTTCCTTTGTATCACCGGATGATAAGCAAATTAGACTGAGGCCTGGTAGCTTTTAATCTCATGTGTTTAAGAATTTGACTCTAGCTTTATGGAGCTCAGGCAGGGTGCTGAACTCGTAAAAACCCATAGCATGAATTTCCAAACTTCTGTGTTTTCTATAACATGAAGATATGCACTCAGGCATTCTTCCAATTGTATATCTAAAGTATCATGAACCTCAGCACACACAACACACTTGTAAGAACTAGCACATCGTGAAACACAACAGGGAGCAATGAGTTCACTGGTTGTCATTAATACCGCACAGCGGTTCTTTATAGTCCACAAGGTAGGAATTCAAATATGCCATGATGATTCATTAAGAAAATAAACAGAATTACCAGTTCAACTTTAGAACAAGGGTTCTACCTTTTCTAATAAGTAGCATGCGGTCCTTTCAAAATCTGACATTTGTCCTGGTATAAGGTTATGGACAACACTGATCTTTCAGCAGCTCCTGGAAGAAGCTTAATTCTAAATCATCACTAGACAAATGAACGCCCCCACTTTCCCTGATATGGAGCATGGTGGGAATGGTTTTTCTATATCCTTCCAGAAGACATTACTTATGTTCTCTTATTCCAGACAGTTCAACTCTCTGCCAAATGGGACTCCAATATATGTCATGATGAGGCATCTAATCATATACCAAATATACTTGTATTTTAAACGAACTGCCTCAAACAGGAAAAAACTTGTTGTTTAAGGACCTGAGTTGACCCCTGTCAGTGCATGTTTAAAAAAAAAAAATTCTGGGTATGGTAGTATGTGTCTGTCATGTTAGCCCTAGAGAGGCAGAGACTGGATATTTCCCTAGGCTGACTGGCAAGTATGTTTAGCCTAATCTGTGAGCTTCAGATTCAGAAAGAAACACTATCTGAAAAATCTTAGTGGAGATAAACTGAGGACGACACCCAGCGTTGAATGCTACCTTCTACAAAAACAACTACACACACACACACACACACACACACACACACACACACACACACGGGTTATGCACTGTGCATACAAACTCGATACAAATATAAAAGTACATACACACACTACTACATACCAGTATTTCTCAACTTCCTGTTGCAGTGACCCTTGAATAGAGTTGCTCATGTGGTGATCTCTATCCATAAAATTATTTTCATTGATAGTTCATAACTGTAATTTTGGTACTGATCAGTGTCTCCGTTCCGAACACTATTGAATAGGTGTTTTACGAAGGATGTAACTCACAGGTTGAGAACTGCTCCTGCATACACACATGCAAATGTACAGAACTAGCAGACATTTCTCTTCTCCTGAATGATGTGTAAGAAGAATGAAATAAATACAACCAATACCGTCCTCACAAAAGACTCATCCAATACTACACTATGACTAAAATCTGGGCATGTTCAGAATACTGCTGTTTTTCCCACACCAGAAAAAGGGTAAGAGCCCCCAGATTTTTCAAAACAGCAAATGATGTTTCAAGAAGCATAACATTCAGGATAATAACTGTCTTACAGTCATAAAGAAAATAGTAATTTTTTCATTAATTAAAATCTACAAATGCTATTTTATTGCCAAGTGATGTCTTACTTGAATTTAGGTAGAGTGGTAAGTCTTCTTTGCAGCGTTATTTCTTGGGCAATCTCAACATCCTGGAGAGCAGACTAGAAGTGAAAATAGAAAAATAAAAAACATAAATAAGTCTCCAAAGCATTCCATGCAGAAGCAATGGATCAATGCATTGAACATACTGGCTTTCCCCCAGAGTTTAGCATACATATTTATGTTCACATCAATCATACTCCAAGTCTCTGAGATCACTGAAAAGAAAAATACGATATTTTCAATATAGCAATGCACAGTGGATTGTTCTATATTAACTTGACACGTTATAGTCATCTGAAAGGGAGGAACCTCAGTTAAGAAAATGTCTCCACAAGATCTAGCTGTAAAGAATTTTCTTAATCAGTGATTGATGGCAGAGAGTGTTCACTGTGGGTAGTGGAATCCCTGGGCTGGTGGTACAGTGCTGCATAAGAAAGGAGGCTGAGGAAGTCAGTTAGCAACACCATAGGAAGAGATACGCCATGCAGAAAATCCGTAGCTGTAAAAGAGTTTACAAGTGAGTCCTAGCTTTGGCAGCATGGACCGGAAAACTAGACTGAGCAGAGAAGATTAACTTGGCCCCTGTGCAAGCATGACATAAAAATCCTTGAAGCACTCCATATTTTTATTGATGTGGTTAACAAAAATAAAATAAAAAAAAATTCTCTTACTGATGAACCTGCCTAAATTCTCTAGCAGCAGACTCAGGAAAGTGTAATTTACTGGCCCTTTGCTCTAACCTAACACGTCTGTATTTATCCTTCACCTTGGTTCCAATTAACAGAAGATCATAGCCCAGGAAAATAACTGTTAATGCTTTTTACTCCTAGAGATGCAGGGAAAAGGGGCTGGGTCGCTACACCAGTCCTAGAGATAGAAATTCCTTCCCACTTGGTTGTCAGCAGTCACCCCGCTGGAGCTGCAAGGAAATTCAGGTAGCATGGTACCTCTGCCAATCAAGCACTTTCAACTTCCTTCTAAGCCTGCAGGTTACCCTGGTGACCGGTGCTGTGCTCCCAACCACCAGGAAAGGAAGTGGAAATGCTCAGAGTCATAAACGTCCAGCTTAACTAGTGACACTTAAGAAATGTAGTTAATGCACAAAAACTTCTTCCTAGCACTTTGTAGTGATTTAAAGTCACATACCAATTAATCCTCCTGGTATCTGCTGGGGAGCTTCACAGCCACGCCTCCTTCTCTGAGATGTGAGAGGCCTCCTTTACCTGTTTTTATGATTCTGTGTAAAGCATGCTTGATACCATTGTTACCGTCTATGGAATTACTAATTTTGTCTGTATGTGCTTAAAAACTAAACACCTTGTGGGGAACAGTCCTTTTTTTCCTTTCTCACCAGCGAATAAAGAAATATGTGGAAGAAACACGCTTGAGTCAGTTTGTTCTTCCACTCAGATCCCTTTTCGAAGCCTGTTGTCCCTTGCTGCAGACATCATGCCCTGAACCCTGAGTGCGGAGGCTGGCACTGGGTAACCCCTGCGATTTTAGTTTGATATTTTTATGTGACTCCTGAGTTTGTGAACAGTAGTTCTCTGACTCTAGGGCCTTTTCTTTCTGCCTTTTCCTTCTGGTGTTTTACAATCCCCAGATTTGGTCCAATGGTGTTTGTTTTAACTTAATATATATTTTTTAAATAATAAACATTTTTTCAATTTCTTAGAATGTATTTTGATTACATTCACCCTCAACTCAAGTCATTACTCATCTCAAAGCCATCCCTCATGTCCCTATCATCCCTAATTTCATGTCCTGAATGTAGCATTTGGAACAAGTTTGAGATAAAGATTTAAAATGATTTTAAGAAGACACAATTTATTATCAGTTTAGCGCTGCCTATGTCTTCATGGGCAGAGGATCATAAAGAGCAGCGTGAGTCTCTTGCTGGTAAATCTTGAAGAAAAATTATGACACTTTCCCATGTGCTCTCAGCCAATATCTCTCTAGTTATGGGTGGGTCCTCATAAATTACTCTTCCATTTATGCTGGAAATTTGACTGGGCTTGTGTTGGGCAGATGTTTCCTGCACAGACTGCATAGCTGAGAGTTCCTCTTTAACAATTATCCTGTAAATTGTGAGGAGTACCATTTTATTTAAAATGTAATATTTATATGGCATATAACATAACACACACACACACACCTTCTATTTTTTTAACCAGATATTCATTTTGAGTACAAAACTCACATGCCCAGTCAATCCCATGTTCATGGCAGTGTCCTTTGAAATGTTAACTATGTTGACATGTTGAATCAGTTTCATAAAATATAAAAATAATGTATAAACAATGCCTCAAGAGGTTTTAAGCAATTCAACAGGGATAGTGTAGATGCACAATAAGAAGAAGGAAAATCAGTCTGTGTTTAATATTTATATTGTATGTCAGTTTATAGCAGCATTGACTCTTAGGAAAACTGATGTAGAAAGCATAACTCTGAAATAGTTTAGGCATCTTCTAATTCATTTCATTCTATTCTGAAAAAATAACTATCTTTAACTTAGAACAAAATATATGCTAAATTCAATGGCTCTCAAAATGATCCTTGAGCTTCAGAAGTCATAAGTGTCACAAATTTCTGTGATAAATGAAACTGAGACATCAGAAGACTTCTACCTCCGATGAAATCAGCTGTTAGATTAGGAATTTGGTCTGTTATAGAAGTTTAGAGGAGCACAAATTGACTCAATTCAGTAAACGCTTCTCAAGATTGACCTCAAAGACTACCTCATCTTCTTACATTCATCCTACTCATTGAAGGAGAGTTACTGAAAAACAATAGATTTGTCAGTCCCTGTCAAATTATATAGTGCAGGAAAGCATGTGCCACATGCCATATGGTCTTACATGGAATTTTGAGTAACTTTTTATTCACTATGAAGCACATGATCTGTGTCACTAGAATAAAACAAAATGATGTGACACTTTATAGATTAATCAACAAAAAAACCACTTCTTCCTCCTATGATATCTCTCCTCCCCTTTCCACTAGTTAGCTGCCCTGTCACAGGTCAGTTCATATAGAAGAGATTTATTGTTGTTAATTAGCAGCCTATTAGGCAAATAAATGTGGTCTATAGGTCAGATCTATTGAGAAAATAATCTTGTTAACAGCTACGTATGCGTGTTTGGAAGAAATTCTGATAATACCTAGCTAACTATGACTAAAACTTCTTGAGGCACTAAATCCAAACTAACTGGTTAGCTTCTCCCAAGGGTATCACTCACAGGAGCTGTAATGTAATAAATCAGAGTACTCCTAATAGTTTTAACTTTTTTCATTACATGGCAGCAGAGAACCTGGAAATATCTAACATACTGTTTGTACAGAGTATCTAACCAAACGGGCAACCACTCTGATCGAGCACCATAAGATGTATGAATGACTAGAGAAATGTTGGGAAAATCTGAAAGAGAAGACTTATTCACAAGATGTTTGGATTTGAGGAGTCCCTCATAAGAATTAACAGAAATGAAAATAGTCTTGTCACATGCTGTGGAAAAGGAGCATCATACCAACAGGTAAAGCAGAGCCAACAGTTCTGTCAGGACTGCAGTCTTGCTCTGATTTTTAATTTGAGGTTGATTGCTCATTCTGTGCACCTGCTACTGGCATGACAGGATACCATGACATCATCTTCCCTAGAGCTAAGCAATGTTCAACCTATGGAGCATGAAAGGAATAAAATCTTTTCTTCATAAAATTAATATGCCACGGATATTTGCTATAACAGAAACCATACCATTGATTATATAATAGCGTTCCTCTTTACAAAACCTATAATATATCCTACTTAACCAAATAAAACATTTTTGTTTCTAAAATTTATTCAAATAATTAAAATGGAATAAATTCATCAGATGTAAAGTAGCCAAGTTGCACAGCAGAAAAGTGATGAGTCAATAAAATAATCTCATTAAAATTGTTTTCTAAAATTGGCAACAATAATAATGCTAGGATTAAATTATTTTGAAAATGGTTTTATTTAAAAAGTAAATATAGTTGCCAATAATATAGAGGCTATAAATTTTATAGATTAATTCAATAAACTTTTCCATCATACAAAACTTTTGCTTTTTAGACAGTCATTGTTTTAAGTATATAAAAATATCTCTGTCTAGAAAGTGATGCCTACTGAGAATATTCCTACTAGATCATGTAGTGATTTTTAAACTTGTTTAATGGACAAATATTTAAATCTGTTTGTAAAGTTTGGTTTCTTAGGTATACAAGCAACCTAAGTGAGCACATCCACTACGTAATCTATGTACCGATTACAGGTAAGTTTGAAAGGTGGAAGAAGACATCCTAAGGCAGGCACATAGTCTATTCTGTAGTAGAAATGCAGGCCTAAGTAAATAAAAAAGGGGGGGGGATATGTTGGTGCCCAAAGGTCAGAGAGTTCAGGCCTATACTTGTTCCTTCAAGGTTATTGACAGGAGGTTCGACCCAGAATGTGGCTATTAACAAGAGGTTTTGACCTAGGGTGTGGTTTTTTGATACTTTGAGCATTTGAGAAGGTGATAACTTTGTTTTTTGCATTTTGGTAAAGAGGTCTTTTTTTCTTCCCACTCCTCTTTGGATTGTGGTATATAAAGCCTATGAAAAATAAATGTAGGTGGATTTTGTATTCACTGGGCTGCCCTCCTGACTCTATCATGTGTCTCTGTCTTTTCTTTTGCATCTCTGTTTTCTTCTGCCTAACATTTCCAATCTACACGCTCCAACCCTGGACCTTATGAACCCAGCAAGGCTGGATCCTGAAAAGAATGAAAGGCCAAACAGCTTAGGTGCTTTGTATGGATTTTTCTATTTGTATATCAGCAAATCTGAGTGACTGCTGGGAAACTGGGAATCTGTGAAGGGACAGAGAAAGAAAACAGACAAAGAAAAAAAAGTTTATGGTACAGCATGTATTATGTGATATACCATAAAGAAAATTGCAACCAAATATCACCTAGTGGCTAATGTGTGATCATTGTGGTTCAGTTAAAATGCAACACAGTTTTAAGTGTCTTAATGTCTGAAAAGTATGTCTTTACACTGGCAGACACCAGTCAGTGAGGATTGCCACTCATGGCGCATGACCGACAGGCATCCCTTTAACATCTTGACACTGAAACAGAATATCTCCTGGGGTAAAAAAAAAATCACTTTTATTTAAATTTCTAATTTTTCTTGAGCGTTTCACACAAGTGCTGTAGTCACATCATTTTCACTGTTTCTTCTCTCACCGCCAAATCCTCCTGTATCCTTCCCATCCCCATTTCTTCTTTAATTACACACACGATCTACTCAGCCCATTTGCTGCTATGCACATGTAGTTGAGTTTAAGGCTGATGACTAAGAATAGGATAACCTATCAAAGATATTTTTTCATGGAGAAAACTAATCCTTCCTCTCTTAGCAGTCACTGCCTTCCTGAAACTATTTAATTAGTGATAGGGCCTTGTGAAATTTCCACAACCTTTGCTAACATGTCAGCTGGTATTGCCATTATATTGATTTTGTTTAGGCAACAATATTACTGAGAGTCAAGAACACACTACCTATCACCAGATATTCTTTTCCTGCTGTTCTTTTTTATTTATTTATTTTATTTTACATGCTAGCTC